GCAGTCTTTCAGAGCTTGACCGTGAATGCATACTCGGAAAGGTTTTTTTTTTTCTCTCCGGGGGGGGGGTCGAGTTCGAGTTCGAGTTCGACGCGGCCGCCGCCAGGTCAAAATCGAGTTCGAACTGCTCTGGGGCGAGTTCGAAGGCGAGTTCGAACTGTGTCACCGCCAGTTCGAACTGGAGTTCGAGCATGTGGACCGCGAGTCCGGACTCAGAAAGCTTGTTTTTTTTTTCCCGGGGGGGGGTGTGCGAGTTCGAGTTCGAGTTCGAGTTCGACGCGGACGCCGCCAGGTCAAAATCGAGTTCGAACTGCTCTGGGGCGAGTTCGAACGCGAGTTCGAACTGTGTCACCGCCATTTCGAACTCGAGTTCGAGCATGTGGACCGCGAGTCCGGAGTCAGAAAGCTTTGTTTTTTTTTCCGAACTCTCACTTCCAACCACCTTTTTGAATTTGTTTTGCTAATTTCCTGGTGCCCAACGTCCAACATCCAATAAATTTACCCCTCTGATAGCCAAGTAAGAAAATTATTTCCTGGATGCTTGCGTTGGTAACATGCCATATCTCCCCCCCTCAATCTGATACGGAAAAAAATTAATTCCTGGCACCTGACTTCCCGGCTGACAGCTCGCAGTCTTTCAGAGCTTGACCGTGAATGCATACTCGGAAAGGTTTTTTTTTTCTCTCCGGGGGGGGGGTCGAGTTCGAGTTCGAGTTCGAGTTCGAGTTCGACGCGGCCGCCGCCAGGTCAAAATCGAGTTCGAACTGCTCTGGGGCGAGTTCGAAGGCGAGTTCGAACTGTGTCACCGCCAGTTCGAACTGGAGTTCGAGCATGTGGACCGCGAGTCCGGACTCAGAAAGCTTGTTTTTTTTCCCCCGGGGGGGGGTTGCGAGTTCGAGTTCGAGTTCGACGCGGCGCCGCCAGGTCAAAATCGAGTTCGAACTGCTCTGGGGCGAGTTCGAACGCGAGTTCGAACTGTGTCACCGCCAGTTCGAACTCGAGTTCGAGCATGTGGACCGCGAGTCCGGACTCAGAAAGCTTTGTTTTTTTTTCCGAACTCTCACTTCCAACCACCTTTTTGAATTTGTTTTGCTAATTTCCTGGTGCCCAACGTCCAACATCCAATAAATTTACCCCTCTGATAGCCAAGTAAGAAAATTATTTCCTGGATGCTTGCGTTGGTAACATGCCATATCTCCCCCCCTCAATCTGATACGGAAAAAAATTAATTCCTGGCACCTGACTTCCCGGCTGACAGCTCGCAGTCTTTCAGAGCTTGACCGTGAATGCATACTCGGAAAGGTTTTTTTTTTCCCTCCGGGGGGGGGGGCGAGTTCGAGTTCGAGTTCGAGCGGCCGCCGCCAGGTCAAAATCGAGTTCGAACTGCTCTGGGGCGAGTTCGAACGCGAGTTCGAACTGTGTCACCGCCAGTTCGAACTCGAGTTCGAGCATGTGGACCGCGAGTCCGGACTCAGAAAGCTTGTTTTTTTTTCCGAACTCTCACTTCCAACCACCTTTTTGAATTTGTTTTGCTAATTTCCTGGTGCCCAACGTCCAACATCCAATAAATTTACCCCTCTGATAGCCAAGTAAGAAAATTATTTCCTGGATGCTTGCGTTGGTAACATGCCATATCTCCCCCCCTCAATCTGATACGGAAAAAAATTAATTCCTGGCACCTGACTTCCCGGCTGACAGCTCGCAGTCTTTCAGAGCTTGACCGTGAATGCATACTCGGAAAGGTTTTTTTTTTCCCCTCCGGGGGGGGGGGTCGAGTTCGAGTTCGACGCGGCCGCCGCCAGGTCAAAATCGAGTTCGAACTGCTCTGGGGCGAGTTCGAACGCGAGTTCGAACTGTGTCACCGCCAGTTCGAACTCGAGTTCGAGCATGTGGACCGCGAGTCCGGACTCAGAAAGCTTGTTTTTTTTTCCCGGGGGGGGGGTGCGAGTTCGAGTTCGAGTTCGAGTTCGACGCGGACGCCGCCAGGTCAAAATCGAGTTCGAACTGCTCTGGGGCGAGTTCGAACGCGAGTTCGAACTGTGTCACCGCCAGTTCGAACTCGAGTTCGAGCATGTGGACCGCGAGTCCGGACTCAGAAAGCTTGGTTTTTTTTTCCGGGGGGGGGGGGGTTCGAGTTCGAGTTCGAGTTCGAGTTCGAGCGGGGCTCACTATGATGGTTTATGGATGTTTATGGTAGATATATCTATAGTTGGGGGTTTTCTTAACCAACTTATGAATGGGGGGAGACCACCTTGAACAAATGCATTGTTATTTCATGGTAATTGTGGTTTAAAAGGAATTACATTGTTATTCAATGACCACTGTAATTCAATGACCACTCCAAAACAAATCAAAATTTTCGTTGTGACTTTTTGTGACTCATTATGATCGAACCGGATTTATTGATTTATGTAAACTGTAAACTATCATGCTGTGATCTATCGTGAATCCTGAATGTGGTAAACCCGATCGTAAATCATCCCAGCAACCAACCATAAAAGGGGGGCATGGCATGTACCCTCCGTTAAACTAACATAGCTATTGATTAAAAATGGTGATTTTCCATAGTTTTATGTAAGTTTACCAGAGGGTGCATATTCCACTTTGGGTGTATCCAAATTCACAAACCCCGATACGAGATGGTGAAGACAAATTGGATTTATATACTGTCCTGTGATTTTGGGGCTAAGCTAAAACATCCCAAGTCCCAAAGTCTCGGGATAACTGTTATGGCACAATGAATAACTTCCATCATAGTTTGCAACTTCTCGCGATCATGGGGCAGATGAGTCTGAAAATATAAGCAAAACTCCAGGAAAAAAAAGCCATATGTTATCACTATGACATAAGAAAATGATGATCATTGATGATCATTGATGATCATTGATGATCATTGATGATCATTGATGATCAACCATCAACTTTGAGGCTTGCCTATTTTCAAAGCCATGTAAATTTAGTGATGTACAAACGGCTTTGTTGAAGGCCCAACAAAACACGATCGTCCCTATGGACTCCGCAAGAATGTTGTATTTTCCAAAGTCAAAAAAAAACATGATTATCCCTATATTAACCAAATAACAAAATGGGAATAATATGGGACTATTATGGGAAATGATGGGACATTATGGGAAATAATGGGATAATATGGGAATATGTTGTGCATGTTGTATACCTATGATTTTCCATATATTAACCAAAATGGGAATAGTATGGGAAATAATGGGATAATATATGGATGACCAATATTAACCATAATATTATGAGATAATTGGCCCATTATTGACGGCATAATCATCCAAAATATTATGCCAATATTGACTTGGGGTACCAATTTTCTGGTGACCTATTGGCATTATTAACCTATTTCTATTGGCATCCAATCACCTTATATGGAGATGGGTCAAAACCTATGAAATCATCAACTTTTAGTGAGATGAATATCCATTTACATCCATTCACCAGCTATTTTGGGGTTCATTAGGTACCAGGGTTTTGACCCATTGCCATATTATTATAAGATCCATGGAAACTTGGGGCATCCAGATTTCAAAAATTCTTCTGCCTCCGGTTTCTCTTCAACTTCTCTCGCGCGGGCACGGTTTTCTTCTTCCTGGGGACTGGAAGGATTGGAAGACCGGCAAAATGGGAATAGTAATGGATATGATATAGGACTAGTATGGGAATTTGGCCACCAGTACCCTCTGGGAAACTAACAGTTTGCTATTGAAAATAGCCATTTATAGTGACTTTTCCCATTAAAAATGGTGATTTTCCATAGTTATGTTAGTTTACCAGAGGGTAGGACTAGTATGGGAATTTGGCCACCAGTAAATGAGAATTTCATTAGTATAGTAAGCATTATATTCATCCCTGTTGAATAAGGCTATATATAAATGTTTATAAATGGGGGAACTATTGGGTTTGTTGTGGTTTCTTGAGATTGATTGAAGTCTCAACAACTCCAAGAACTGCCTAGAACATGAGAAAGGGGGTATAGAACCATCTAAATATACCCTCAGGTTCAAGCATGCCCACCATTGTATTACCTAAATCTGGTAACGACAATGGTATTCTCACCGGGGTTGAGCTTCATTTTGGAACATCTTTCGGGGCATTCACCTCTTGATATCTCTTGGTTTATCCAGTATGTGAAGCTTGGATCCCAATGTTCGAGAATTACCCTCTGGTAAACTAACATAATTATGGAAAATCACCATTTTTAATGGGTAAATCCACTATAAATAGCCATGTTCAATAGCTATGTTAGTTTCCCAGAGGGTAAATCTCAACGTTTGATTGTGAAAAATCCATTGTTTTCATGGAAAAAAAGTCCCAACTGTTCATGGTCACATCCCAATGCTTGAACATATGAAAAAAAAACCGATCTCTGATGAAATCCTCATCTGTTTGCCCAAAAATTCACGAGATCTGACCGGTGAAATCCTGTTCCTTATCCCGGTAGACCGGCATGACCGGTCTGTTCCACTGCTTGCCGACCTGGCCTCCAATTTGATCTCCTGTAGAACCCGAGCCCTGCGACGCGACGCAGCCGGGTGGATCCATCTATCGAGTTTTCTGCGGTTTCAAATGCACGGAATGTGGTCGCAATGTTCATATCTAATTGGTGGTATACCTACCCCTCTGAAACAATAAAACAATGCCATAAACCATCGTCATCACCATTTTTATGGGTGGTAAGTATAAACCATTCCCAGTCATGGATGGTTTATGACATTGTTTTAACCACATTAATCATTATTGTAAGAACCATCAACTAGCCATGAAAACCACCATTTTCATAACCATTAGCCATTATTAAAAACCATATATAACCATTAATAATCATAGTTATGACATTGTTTTAACCACACTATGGTTATTAATGGTTATATATGGTTATTAATGATTATTTAAAACAGCTTAACATGGTTATTAATGGTTTAACTGGATTGTTGTAACATGGTTAATAACCATAGTGGTTTAATAACACAGCTTATTTATCCATCCAGTTGGCCGTTCGCACGGTGAAGCGCCTCCTCCAATCGGCGGTGCAGATGCAACAGGCGAAGGAGAACAACGCGGAGCCGCTGATCCAGAGCCTGTCGTGGTGGACGTGTTCAAAAAATGCTGGTGAGATGTTAGGAAAACCTTGGAAAACCATAGGAAAACCATGGAAAACCATGGAAAAACATGGAAAACCCTGGAAAACCATCAGAAAATCATGCGAACAACCATGGAAAACCATAGAAAAATATGGAGAAATAGCATAGAAAGCCACAAAAAAAATCTTGTAGTGAAGCCATGTTACGGGTGATTGAATGAGATATAACGAATATAACCGGGATATGATATAACTAAGAATATGATATGTGGGTCCATGGGTCTGAAATGGGTCCATGGCCGACGAATTTTGGTCCAATGGTACCCCAACTTGGGACCCCAACTTTGATCGATAGTCATGTTAAGTTAAAGTGGAAAACCTCATAATGAACCCATTGGGTAAAGTCATTATAATTATGGCGTTACAAGTCATTTTGACTATGTAATGTCATTATAAACACCATAACTTTTATGCATCTAACATGGTTTGTAATTTGGGAAATTGGGGACGGTTGATCATTGGGTTTACCACATTTAGGTTGGCGTAGAACATGTGCAGGAAAGCACATTTGATGGAAAATGATAAACACTGGGATTTCCGAGAATTATGACAAATTGGTGCTTGAAATTGGAAAAATCGGATAAAAATCTAGCGTAATGAGCCGTCCCTGAGTTGGTGCTATGTTTTCTGGAGAAATCTATACGAGTAATGTCAACCCTGGATTAATAAACCCCTTGGCTGTTTAATTGGGGGGATACCATTTAAGTATCAGATGAAATGACTATTGGGGGAATACCCCCTAATTAATAAACCATGGTTTAGTCTCATCCAGGGTTGACATTACCAAAATCGTGCAGATTTCCAGTGAACATTTCCATTGAACCCATGAAATGGGACCTGTGACAGTTCCGATTCAACAAACGGTGCGTCTTGTTGGTTTTGGAGAGAAATTCCTTGCTAGGGCCGAAGTTTCACAGGACCAGCCGGAATCTAATTACAGTTCATATCAGCTCATTATTGCTTGATTCTATGGCTGCTCAGCTTGGGTCATTGAAAATTCTTCAGATCCCCCTGGGGATCGACTAATTTTGTCGTGGCCGCTGGTCCGCATTGTGAACCAGATACATAAACGATGCTTTTTTTCGGGTCATTGCGGTTCACGGTTCAGTCTCAACCTATCAGTGGAGGCACCCAAGGTTTACCCCTACCGAAATTTGAAGATTATACTCAAGACAAATGGGGATGTTCACTTGCAAAAGTGGGGAGGTCAGCAACAACAACCAAAATGGGGATCATCGTGCAGTCAACCAAAAATAAATCGAGATGGAAGCATACATAAATTGAATTAAATTGATATGTCCAAACAAGAAGTGTATGTGGCCAACAAACTTAAGGTACCAAACAACCCAGATGTTTTTCCATGTTGAGTATCACAGCACCCAAGTTTCAACATGTTTTGTGGCCGTTGCCGTGGCAAGACATGGCGGGCGGGACGCCAAATATTTCATCCCGGAGTTCACGAAGCGAGAGTTGAGCTTCACCTCAGCTGCAAAAAGGCGACCACGGAGTCGAGTGTGGGTCAAATGCAGCTGTTGGTCGAGTGCTATAGTGAAACAAAGGGTCAACTGTGAGAGGATTTTGATCATTTCTGAAATATCTATAAATATTAGTGATTTCCGCTAAAAAAACGAGGGCCAAGGTGGCAACAGGTTGAGACATTCCGAATTCACAGAAATTGCTGACGGTGCTTTCCCAAGGCAGGACCTCTTTCGATGTAATCCAGCTGGGCAACCAAAAGTGGTTCTCCCATGTTCTCGCTCACCCCAAGGTGCGAGAAGCTTTCTGGGTAGCTGTAGAGTCTGGACTTAGTGTCATTGCCAAGTGGCCATCTTATGCGGAACCAAGACTATCACACCCAATCCTTAGTCCTAAATGAAATAATACAACTGGGAATCCAATTTTCGCCGCTGTAACTGGCTTTGGGAACTTATCCTGCCGTCTCTCTTTGTTGGAACATTTTAATTACAATAGGTTGATGGGCGTGAAATCTGAAAAATGCTAAGCCCTAGATCCTCTTGGGAGGATGGGGAGTCACCCGCAGCCCATCAGCCATTCCGTTCCGTTCCGTTCCGACTTGGGTCGTCGCATCGGTCAGTGCTTCCGGAATCAACACTTCGTAGGTACTGGTGTTCCAGCCTAAGATCATCGTTCTGGCCATCGAAGATGACCAGATTGAAGGATCTTTCGAGTCACCGGAAAATGGTTCGGGAGAATTCTCGGATTTTGTAATTGAAATTTGGGGATACAGCAAACCGCCAAACTGTCCCACCGGCTTTGATGCAGTTGGGACATAGCAGCATAGCATTTTCTGAACCTTCTCTGCCCAAACCCAGAACCACGTTTTTTCTTCATTTGGCTGGGTTTTTCTGGCTCAACATTGAGGATAAGAGGTGCCCCAAAAAGCCTTAGCTGATGATTTTTCAGTAGGAAGTTTCTGCCAGTCGATTTATTCGACTCCTTGACTGCATCAGGCTGATTTGAAGAAAGATTTGGGCATGGTTTTGGAACCTGAAAAAAGGAGAAAAATCCTCTGGATCTTAGGAAAATGCTTAAGTTTGCAGGAACCTTGTCACAAAAGCAAAAGGCGAGTTTCACTTTGAAAAAGAAACCCTTTAATAAGCAACTGTCAAGATATGTCAAGCAATTGCTTTCCGCAGAAGGCATGTTTTTTGCTGACAAAAACTCTGGTTTTCCAGAAAACCAAGTAATTACTGCCTGCATGCCTCGTGGTAGGCTGGGGTGCACAAAACGCCATACCGCAATTCTACTTGATTACGACCCCATGTTGGTTCCATTAACCTTTTTGACCTGGGTCCCAGGTACTCTTTGGTAGTAGATGAAACCCCATCTATTAAGCTTCTTGACAACCTAGCTTGTCCTAGTTGCATCCCCATAATTGTTGAATACATCCCCACGTTTGCAAAATCCTCCATTGATATACTGACAGATGATCTGGTTGGTGGTTTTGAGCCCTGCCCCTCTGAAAAATGATGGACTTCGTCAGTTGTTCACCTTATTCCCAACTGTTTCCGGCAAGTCATTTCAAATTCCATGGTTCCAGTCACCACCAACCAGCAAATTTGTTGCTTTATAAACCATGAAATAATCCCCATTAACTAGTTCGTTATATCTACCATACACCATAGTTACCATTTTTTTTATTAACCATTATTAATATTTATTTACCATCATTAACCATCATTATCCCATACTAAAGCAATGTTCCAGTCACCACCAACCAGTTACCATCCATAAAAACTTCCGTGGATTTCCTTCCGCTGGCGTCTGGCGTTTTTGGAGCTCAGAGCTCGCCATGTTACGGCCTTCAAAGGAGATCAACTCGCTGGCGTTTTCCTGGGGGTTGGATGATCAAGAAACCAAAAAAGACTCGGGAAAAACAGGATTTTCATGGGATTTAATGGTTTTTTTCCGAATGCGTAGCAAGGGTTCCCGTTTCACTCTGGGGGTCTGGGGGTTGAGGGTGTGTTCGCTCGACGTTGCGTTCACGGTCGCAACCGTCCGCAACCGTCCGCAACCGTTCGCAACCGTCCGCAACCGTCCGCAACCGTCCGCAACCGTTCGCAACCGTTCGCAACCGTCCGCGCGATTGCTATATGGCCGTGCCTATGGTAAGTTCTGCAGGAGGGGTGCTTTTTGTAGGTGTCAAACGTCTCGTTGCTTCGTTTCGCGTGGCAGCCATGGCACTTCGTGACATTCAGACGTATTTTGTAACGTGTCGAAAGTCGTTTCGTGTGGCAGGCGCAATACTTTTGCGACGTTTTCAGATGTGTTGCATTTTCGTGGCAGGCGCAGCACTTTGGACATGTCCATCGTGATTTTTCGTGGCAGGCGCAGCACTTTAGACGTGTCGTGTTGCGTGTTTTTGTAAATCGCATTGGCAGGGCTGCGTCAAGTGGCGACAAGGTGCAAATTCCGTGGCAGGCGTGGCATTTTGTGCGATGTGCTGAAAATTGACGGAAGCCTCGCACGAAACATCGATTTTGAGGTTGCAAATTTTCGGGTTCTAAGGAAAACTCGTAGGAAAACGTCGATTTTGAAGCTACAAAGTGTGAAAATTGGAGGAAGTCTCGCACGAAATGCTCGTTTTGGTGCTCCCACGTGTCTCGTCTCGAGTCTCTGGTTTTCCCGTGGCTTCGCCGTGTCTATGGGGGAAGCTGCAAACCTGTCCTTTTTGTCCTGTTGCCAACTGTGAAAATGGCCGGAAGTCTCGAACGAAATGCTGGTTTTTCTGCATCCACGTGTCTTGTCTCGAGTCGCTGGTTTTCCTGTGGCGTCTCCGCGTCTATGGGGGAAGCTGGAAAACCTCTCCTATTCGAATGTGTCCAAGCAGGTTGTCATGTCGTTTTGCGTGGCAGGCGTGGCACTTTGTGACATTCCAACCTGTTTGATAACGTGTGAAAACTATCAAAATTGGAGGAAGTCTCGCACGAAATGCTCGTTTTTTTGCTCCCACGTGTCTCGTCTCGAGTCTCTGGTTTTCCTCTGGCGTCGCCGTGTCTATGGGGGACGCTCCGCACTCCACACTCTACTCTTTACACTCCACACTCCACAATTTACACTTTAGACTCCACACTCTACACTTTACACCCCACGCTTTACACTTTGCACTTTACACTCCTCTCTCCTCACCTGAGACTTTACACTCCACACTCCACACTTTACACTACACTCTACACTTTCCACTCCTCACTCCTCACTCTACACTTTACACTCCACACTCCACACTCTACACTTTACACTCCACACTCCACACTTTACACTACACACTCCTTACTTTACACTCCACACTTCACACTCCACACTTTCCACTCCACACTCCACACTCCACACTTTACACTCCACACTCCACACTTTACACTCCTCACTCCACACTTTACACTCGTCACTCTACACTCTACACTCCACACTCTACACTTTACACTCTACACTTTACACTCTACACTCTACACTCAACACTCCACACTCTACACTTTACACTCTACACTCCACACTCTACACTCCACACTCTACTCTTTACACTCTACACTTTACACTCTACACTCTACACTCCACACTCCACACTCTACACTTTACACTCTACACTCCACACTTTACATTTTACTCTCCACACTCCACTCTACACACCACACTCTACACTTTCCACTCCACATTTCGCACTCCACACTTTACACTCCACACTCCACACTTTACACTTTACACTCCTCACTCCACACTCTACACTCCCCACTCCACACTTTACACTCCACACTCCACACTCTACACTTTCCCCTCTACACTCCACACTCTACACTTTACACTCTACACTTTACACTCTACACTCCACACTCCACACTCTACACTTTACACTCTACACTCCACACTTTACATTTTACACTCCACGCTCCACTCTACACACCACACTCTACACTTTCCACTCCACATTTCGCACTCCACACTTTACACTCCACACTCCACACTTTACACTTTACACTCCTCACTCCACACTCTACACTCCACACTCCCCACTTTACACTCCACACTCCACACTCTACACTTTCCACTCCACACTCCGCACTCCACACTCCACACTTTACTGTACACTCCACACTCCACACTTTATACTTTACACTCCTCACTCCACACTCCACACTTTACACTCCACACTCCACACTTTACACTCCTCACTCCACACTTTACACTCCACACTCCTTACTTTACACTCCACACTCCACACTCTACACTTTCCACTCCAGACTCCACACTTTACACTTTACGCTCCACACTCCACACTTTACACTTCACACTTTACACTCCATACTCCACACTTTACACTCCTCACTCCACACTCCACACTTTACACTCCACACTCCACACTTTACACTCCTCACTCCACACTTTACACTACACACTCCTTACTTTATACTCCACACTTCACACTCCACACTTTCCACTCCACACTCCAAACTCCACACTTTACACTCCACACTTTACACTCCTCACTCCACACTTTACACTCCACACTTTACACTCCACACTCTACACTTTACACTCCACACTTTACACTCCACACTCCACACTCTACACTTTACACTCTACACTATACACTCCACACTCCACACTTTACACTTTACACTCCACGCTTTCCACTTTACTCCTCACTCCACACTTTACACTCCACACTTTACACTCCACACTCCACACTCTACACTTTACACTCCATACTCCACACTCTACACTTTACACTCCGCATTCTACACTTTACACACTCTACACTCCCCACTCCACACTTTACACTCCACACTCCTTACTTCACACTCCACACTCCACACTCTACACTTTCCACTCCACACTGCAGACTGGTAACAAGGGAAACATGTACAAGACTGTTCAAATAGACTATTGCAGAAAGGTATTGTGCGTGACTGCATAACCATGTGTTTTGACATCTGTACCATTAACATACGTGTGAGCATTCGGGTTCGTGGGCTTCATTTATGGGATCTAATGGGATTTAATGGGATCTAATGGGATTTATTAGGATATATGATGGTATACCCTCTGGTAATTTGTTACATAGCTATGGAACATGGCCCATAGAAATAGTTGATTTACCTATAAGAGATGGTGATTTCCCATAGCTATGTTAAATTACCAGAGGGTATTCCATAAGATATGTTATTATTTTTGATCGTCATGGGTTAGATAAACCATTACAATTGTGGCGGTTCAATAGATTGTTAATGATAATATTGTGGATGGGCCAGCGAAAACCTGCAGTTGAAAATGGTCGGTGGTTGCTGCATCCCAGGATTTTGGTGGGGTTGAAAAACCATCCAAAATTGCTGATGCAGGATTTCGCAACCACCGTAGGGAGTATTTTAAAAAAAAACAAAAACAACCTACTGAGATTGGGACAAGAATAGGGAGTCTAATCTCATGGCACTGGTATGATCGTGGATTTAAGCAGCTTTTCATCAGCCAATTGATGATGGATTCGGTCAGCCAAAAGTCGGGCTTAAAAAAATTGGCATCAAACAGATGTGCAATTTTTAGCGATCATGATCATCATGGGCAATCCAATCCCACGATTATATACATCAGATACCCTCGAAATTTTGGGCGCTCAATTCGTTTTGATTGGTGGGTACTGAATATCCT